CTCCTTCATTTATGAAATTTAGTTTTGCAGGTTACAAAATCCTTGGTTGACTGTTATTCTGTTTGAGGATATTGACAATAGGACCCCAGTCTCCTCTGGCCTGTAGGGTTTCCTCTGAGAAGTCTGCTGTTAATCTGATAAGTTTACCTTTAAAACTTTATTTGATGTTTTTATCTTACTGCTCTTAAAATTCTTTCCTTCACTTTAACTTTCCATAACTTGATGACTACATGCCCTGAGGATGACCTTTTAGCAATGAATCTTCTGGGAGGTTTTTGGGTGTCTTGTATCCAGATGTTTAACTCTCTGGAAAGGTCAGGGAAGTTTTCCTCCATTTTTCTCTCAAATAGATTTTCCAAACCTGTTGTTTTATCTTCTTTCTCAGTAACACCTATGATTCTTAGGTTTGGGTGTTTTTACATAATCCCGCATTTCTTGGAGACTTTGTTTCATTCTCTTGATTCTTTTTTCTTTATTGTTGTCTGACTGGTTAATTTGAAAGCTTTTTCTCAAGTTCTGAGATCCTTTCTTTTATTTGTTCTAGTTTGTTGTTAAAACCTTCCACCACATTTTTTTTTTTTTTGAGTTGGAGTCTCACTTGGTCACCCAGACTGGAGTGCAGTGGCCACTCCCGGCCACCGCAGCCTCGCCTGCTGGGCTCCGGGAATCCTTCTGCCTCAGCCTTCCGAGTAGCTGGCATTACAGGCATGCGCTGCCATGCCCGGCTGATTTTTTGCTTTATTGTAGAGATGAGGTCTCGCTGTCCAGGCGGGTCTTGAACCCGCAGGCTCAGGCAGTCCACTCACCTCAGCCTCCTAAAGGCACGGGATTACAGGCTGAGCCACCGAGCCGGCTTCCACCGCATTTTATACTTCTCTAAATGAGACTTTCATTTCCAGAAGTCTGGCTTTTTTTTTTTTTAAGGTGTCTATCCCCTTGTAGAAATTTTTATTCATGCCCTGAGATGGTTTGTTTGTTTTTTTTTTCCTTTTTTTTCTTTTCACCTTTTCCTAAATCTCATTGAGTAATTTTGTAAATCATACTTTTAAATTCTATCTCTGGAATTTTAAATATTTAATTTTGGTTAGGGTCCATGACTGAAGAGTTAGTGTAGTCTTTTAGGGGTGTTGGAGAACTCTGTTTTTAAAATTTGTCAGAATTAATTTTCTGGTTCCTTCTCAACTGGGTAGACTATGTCTTCTTATTTAGTGTTGGCAGGAACTGACGTAGGCAATGTAGAGTTTCTTTGGTGATATATAACCTTGATGGAGTGAATTTCTCAATTACCAACTGTAGTGGCACTGTGCTGGGTACCTGCATGGGCTCAAGGTGTTCTGAGTGGTTGGGGTGGCTTGGATATTGGTATTATCTGGGTTTGGGGGTTATATCTTCCCCAGAGCTGAGGCATTATATCAGATGTAATGGACTGAGTGAATTGATCTCCAGCCAGGAGGTGGCACTTGTGAAAGAGACCCAGCAGCAATGGTAGCTTTGGACTTTCTGCTTGGCCTGTGTTGTCCCACAGGAAATAACCAGCCAACCTAGACAATGGGTGGGGCTGTGAGGATTACTCAAAACCCCTGTCAGTCTTGAGCCTCCTGGGAGGAAAAGCACTCAAGCTTCCCACATGTGTGCACAATTTGCTACCCCATTGGGGATTGGGAAAGAGTACCCAGTCACTGAAGTAACATTGATATGCTGCACAAAAGAGTTTCCAGAGAGAGAGAAATGTTGATAGGACAATGAGTCCCTCCACCCCCAGCTCCTTTGACTTAGCTTCAGGCAGACTGCATTTGGAGTGTAAAAGTGCAGACAGCCTCAGGTGTTTACACTGCCAGAAACAGTTTGCAACTGCTGAATTTGCCTTTGGGTCCTATCCTCTCCTAGCCAGGCCAGAAAGCAACCTGCACGAAGGCGCCTGGAGCCATTCGGGGCTTTTAGTTCCTTCTATTTCTCCATGTGTGTTTCGGCAGAGCATGGCTGCGGGTAAGGCAGTTTCACATGGAGTCCCATAGAGCTCAGGGGTCCTTCAAAGTCTGTGGCAGGAGCAAAAAACTCAATTTCCCCTCTCTCACCTCCTCCTCAGCTGCACCCAAAGCTTGGTTTTTGCCCTGATCCAGGCAAGTCTGGCTAGTTGCTACCCAGGTCAATCAATTTTTCTCTTCTTTGCACTCTGTGGATACTGTTGCATCCTTGGTGAGTCATGGGGCATGTTGCTGGTCCTGTTCCCCTCTGAGTGCTGAGGATCTCTGTCTGTTTTGGTTTACTCCATGAGAGAAACACTTTCTAGCTGCTTTTCTTTGGCTATCTTAATCCTATCTCTTATTCCTCTATATTGGTTAGAATTATGTTTAAAATAATTATGTTTAAAATTATTCTGAGGTAGAATAATTTTTAGCAAGTAAATAGTATACCAAGTATTCAGCTTTAGAAAGAGCTCTTTGATGACAGAGGAATAATCCAAGATTTTCACTACTCTAGCTTGCTTCTATGCCGTAATCTTTATTATATAAAGCATTATCCCTATATGTTCAGCACTGTGGTAGACCACACTCCTTCCCTTGTCTTTCTCACTTCCTTTATCCTAAATGCTCTCTTCTGTGCTTGATTCATTTGAGTTAACATTTGAAAATACAAGCATATACTTTAATATGTGCTGCTTGAGGCTCCTTTCATTGTGTACTTTAGCTATGCATATAAATGATCAGTTCCAGTTTATAAAGTCTCAGTGATGCTTCTGAGATTACATTCACCATCTTGTATTAAGACTCATTCTATTCATTAATAGTATGTAGACACTTGAATGAAAGGAGTATTTTATTTTCTTCCCTGTAAATCTCTGGATCCTGTACCTCACCTTCCCTTCCCACTGTGCTTTGATTGTCGCACTTGCTATCCTTCATAACATTTCATTTTATAGTTTTTTTCCTAGCCTTTTAACTCAATTTCTGTTCCATCCCTATTAATCATGTTGTTAACTAATTAACCAGACAAATAGTTCTAGCATTCCCAAATTGTACACCTTCTTTTCCCAGTTATTTGGTATTTGTGACTATGAATCGTATCTTCTAATATCATCTATGTAGCCAGTTTATTCATTTTTAAAATCCTCTTATCTTCTCAAAAGTAATAACTTTCAATTGAAGTAGCGGGAAAAAATACAATATATGCTCCCAAGTCTTTCTATTTCCTGCCCAGGATTATAAAGTCACTAGAAATACATTTCAGATTTCTTTATCTCACTGATCCCACAACAAATCAATAACTGTGGGCCAGAGTTCATAGGTCTGCTGTGACTTGATCAGAATTTTGTTGGAACACTGAAGAAAGCACAAGTAGTTCTGAACATTTATTTAACATGATCAGAACACTCACCCTCCAGATATGAAGTCATTATAAATCAGAAAATAAAATTAACTCTCTCACATACACACTCTAAAAGAAAATTCAGAAATTGTGTTTGATGGGACTAGGTGTTTGTCTTCATGGAAATCTCATTTCCATTTCTCATTAAGAAGCAAATGTAGCTAAAATGAGACAATTATTTAATTATCAGACTATTTAAATATCATTAAATTTGAAGAACAGTGATTTATGTGGAATCTGAAAAACAGTATTTTAATCTGTTTTGTGCTGCTATGTGGAAAAGAACCTGAGACTGAGTATTTGATAAAGATCTGAAAATTGTTCTCTCACAGTTCCAGAGGCCGAGAAGTCCAAGACCAAGGTGCCAGCAGGTTAGGGCCCAATCTCTCTACTTCTGAGACACCTCCTTGAATGCAGCATTCTCTGGTGGGGAGAAACTTTGCTACTAATGTGGCAGAAGAACAGAAGAAACAATCCACTACCACAAGCCCTTTTGTAGTGGCATTAATCCAAATACCTCCCATTATACCCTACCTCCCAACACTGTTACATTGGAAATTAAATTTCATCATAAATTTTGGAGGGAACAAAAACATTCAAACCACAGTAAATGAGTAGCATACCTCATGCATTAAGGATTTGCCAGGTTGGTTTGTTCAGCGACAGGATATTACTCATTCTGCTTAAGGTAGGTCAATAAAATGAATAAAGATTTAGCTACCAAATTTGATAAAAATATAGTCTTGAAAAATCTAACATGTTTCTCAACAATCTTTTTACTTCAGCTTTATTGAGGTATAATTGGCATACAATAAAGTATATATATTCAAAGTATATAATCTGACACTGATGAGTTTGACATACATATACCTTTGAAGTGCTCACCACAATCAAGATAACAAACATATCCATTAACTCTAAAACTTCTTCCTTGTGCTGCTTTGTAATCCCTTTTTCTGCCCATAGGGCCCCTCCAGGCAATCACTGACTTGTCTGAAAATTAGTATTTGAATCTGTTTCATGATGCTATATAGAAGAATACCTGAGACTGGGTAATTTGATAAAGATCAGAAAATTGTTCTCTCACAGTTTTTATTTTCTAGCCTTAGCATAGTTTTTATTCTTTTTGGTCTGGCTTCTTTCCCTAGTATAGCTATTTTGAGATTTATACAGCCTGTGTGTATCACCAATGTTTCATTCCTTTTTTTCTTCTTTTTTTTTCATTCCTTTTTATTACCGTGTAGTATTCCACTCTGCAGACACATCTCAATTTGTTTATTTAAATCTTTGATTTATAATTTCTTCTTCTTCAGTTAGCTTGTGCCTTCCTATGACAAAGCTTCCATGAAATCTCTGGGCACAGGTAAAATTGATCAAATAACATTTCTGAAGACACAAAGCTGAGAACAATCCTGATGTAGATGAGCACTGCTGCTGAGGGAGGGGAGACCACAAGGAGGTCAGTTTTTCCCAACTCTGGACACTATTTTCCAAACACAATGGCATGGAATTGGAAATATGTCATTTTGGCTGTAAAATAATGTATGTGTAAGATGTCCTTATTAATGATGATTAAACTAAAATAAAGACTCATAGTTATCTTTCCCCCACTCCCAACCTCCTTGTCATTTCAGGCCCGGAAGGGGGACTGTGCAACATCAGTGAAGGTTGCCATTGACACAGGGTACCGACACATTGACGGAGCCTATGTCTATCACAATGAGCATGAAATTGGGGAAGCCATCAGGGAGAAGATAGCAGAAGGAAAGGTGCGGAGGGAGGACATCTTCTACTGTGGAAAGGTGAGATCTGCCTTCACCGTCCATCACCTTGTACTGTAGATGCATCTGACGCCACTTTTCTCTGCCGAAGGACATTGAACTCGCCAAGAGTAGAAGGCCTGTTTCCTTCCCAACTGCGAGATTCTTCACCACTTGTCCAAAAACGTAGGGACAAATTAGCTCCCTGAAGCTTAGGGCAAAGCTGCTTCTTCATACATGGAAACTTATTTAAGACACCTCAATATAGGAAAAGCCAAATCAACAAGGCAAAAATGTTGAGAAGTGGCAGGAAAGGAGGAGGTGGTTTATGTTATGTAAGTGTTTGTCAAAGCTTTCTTTATAAAAGCAGTCTTCCTTTTTTGTGTGTGTGCCTATTTGTCCACAGATCACTATTTTTTTAATTGATATATAATTCACTTACCATAAAGTTCACCATTTTAAATCAGGGGTTTTAGTATATTCACAAAGCAGTGCAAACATCACCATTATCTAATACCAGATTTCCAGAATCACCACTCCAAAAGAAACCTTATCCTCATCTGCAGTCACTTCCCATGCATCCCTCGCCACAGTCACTGAGAACCACTAATTTACTCAATATCTCTCTTGCTCTCCTATTCTGGATAACTTTATATAAATGCAGGCATATACTATTTGGCCTCTTTTTTTTTTTTTTTTTTTT